GAAAGAAAGAAAGAAAGAAAGAAAGAAAGAAAGAAAGAAAGAAAGAAAGAAAGAAAGAAAGAAAGAAAGAAAGAAAGAAAATATACATATTATTCATATTTCAGTAACAGTTGAGCGTAGTGTTTTATCACTTACATGGTTTAACATTCTGTTGCGGTTGAAAAGTAACAAATATATACAGTTATCAGAGATTTTATTCTCGGTCGTCGCCCTTTGTGTGATTGATGTGTATTGAATTGCCTATGATTTACGCTCGGTACCATCGCGACGTCGCGATATACTCTGCGTAACATAGGTAACAATAATATATAAATCCGGCATCCACTTGTGTTCAATTAAATTCAATTCTTAACAACAAACAAGATCGGAAACCAATAATCGGAAAATGTGAATTACGCGTAACTATAAGAACGCGGCGTGCGTTTGGTCGTTTGCATTAATTGCCTCGTTTATTTTTCGCAACGTAAATACGGGCAATTATTAGCAAAACACGACACTCGTGAATTATCATAAGCAACGATTAGTGGTTCTACATTTCGACTGGAGAATGTATTTCTGTTTTAGCTAAATAAACACACGCTTAACATTTCGCAAATCGTTGCCTAGATATTAGCGGACATATCAGAGTCGCTTCAAAAGTCCCTCATTGAAACAAAATTTAGATCATCTCGACTTGCATTCAAATGATAAATGTGACCAAAATATCGTTTGTTATCAAACATGGTTTTACATGTATAAAGTACAATACGCTGGTGTGTTACACTTGAGAAGGTTCAGAATTCTCGTGGGCGTGTCTATGTCAAAGCAAAACAAATCTATATTTGAAAACGTGTATTAATCCATGGTAGTACTTGCATGCAGTTTAGCGTTAAATTTTATTCTGCTTGTCTATACTGGCAATGAACGTATTGGGGACTCACACTCATCCTAATTACCGGCCAACAATGGCCGCGGTTTTCAAGACCGTTGAACTTCCATGACATGACATTGCGACACATGCGACATGATGTTGAATGCTTCAAGTTGGAGTATGGTGCGATAACTGGTATGTCCAATATATCGTAAAATTTTAATTAATTGAAACATTAAACATAGTTTTACCAAGTTTGACGATATATTCTATATAAGTATCATTTAAAAAAATAGAAATGTCATTATTTAAATTTTGACGAATATGAATATATGCATGTGGCATGTAGATTAGTCAAAGTTTCGTTCACGTAAAATGTACTTATGGAGAATTAACTTTGAACAAGTTTTCCATTTGTTGCAAGCCTCTCGTTGTACCTTTTCTGTTTATTTATAGAATTACTGGCCAACCTTTTTTTTTCTTGACCTTATATATTGTTAAAGTTAACGAGAGATACGTTAGAAGGGGCTATTCTCTTTGATTGAGGGGTCATTGTTGATATTTAATATGAGTCTCGTGAGAAGTGATTATGCAACACATGGCGACAATCGACAAGCAATTATATTATTTTTCGGTCCTCCAAGGCTATTTTGCCACCTGTTGCAAAACAGAAGGTTGCAACCTACATCCAAATACTTCGTTTCAACACGTGGTTCATCCGTTTCTATCAGAACGGCAATGTGATCGATGTTTGCCTGTCGTCAATTTCACTGAATTATATGACTTTTGGAAACGAGAGACAAGATAAATTTGTTAGTCATAAATCATAATGACAGTAACGTGAAATGATTACCAACATGTCCTTGATGAAGGCAACAATGAAATTACAAAATGTATTCATAGTCCAAACTCACACATTTTCAATATGTCACTGACCTTTCATTGTGACGTGTCTTCGATGTGCAATCCGGTTGGGGCTGATCAACAACTTTTTTTACGTTTTTAACGAGCTTTACGAACAAAATGTGACAGCTGTTCCCTTGACACTGGAGTTCGTCCGTTATTAATTACTCACACAGGGACATGGTTCAGACAATGTGGCCTTAATAAACGCATCAAATCATAACAAATGGTGTTTTTTTCATTAATATTTTATGACCTCGACCAGAGATTATTGACGGTATCATTAACATTTATCTCCCAGTGGCGTGTTTTTTTCAAATCGAATATATCGTCATTAAAAACTGGCAACTTTCGATCATTGAGAAATATTTGTCAGAAACAGTACTAATTTGGAACATGCGTTGGCGGAATAATTCTAAATTACAATATTAAAAACGAGAATAAAGAATTATTTTGTTGCTTGCTAGTCGACTTGTAACGTTATTTGCGCACGAGAAACTGTCGCACCTAGTCAATGACTA